CCTTATATGTGTATTGCTAATGGTAGAATGTACTTCTAATCTCCTACTATTGGGGTTATTACTTTATACTGAAAGTGATTCATCATTTCATTGTGCATCCAACACTACGAAAGCAAAAACATCACATCTTCAGGTCAGTTGGGACTGCATTTTATTTTGCTGCACTATTTCCAAGTTTACTGCACTTAGCTTTTAGGTGTCATGTACTAATGTTTAGTGCACTATATTTAAATTGTAAGGCGGGGATTGACATTCTTCAGTACTTAGGAGGCGTTTACTTCACCGGTTATTAAACGGTGCTTATTAAGACCCGTGTTAATAAGCGGTGCATAAAATAAACAATGTTGTAAGACTGTGTTTACTTCAAACGGTTTAAAACACCGCTTAACATTAAAATGTCCAAAATAACCCTATACATATATACACACACAAACATTCATGAACACAAGTATATAATATAAATGTGTACCCATACCCCCTAACCCCTTACCCACCCTACCTTACTCTGACCCCACCTACCCCCTACCCCTACCCCTACCTACCCGACCCTACCCCTACCCGATCCCACCCTACCGCGACCCTACCCCCAACCCCATAGGCCCCTACCCCCATACCCCCTTACCGCATCGACCCCACCCTGACCCCACCTTACCCTACCTTACCCCAACCCCGCCCCTACCCTACCTTACCCCGATTACCACTACCCTACCCAATCCCACCCTACCCCTACCCTACCTGACCCCACCCTACCCCGACCCCACCGCACCTACTCTGCCCCTAGCGCCTCTATCACATTGGCCCCACCCCGACCCCACCACCCCAACCCCACCACCCTAGGTATAGGGTGGGGGTAAAGGGTGGGGTCGGGGTATATGGTGGGATGGGGTAGGTGGGGTAAGAGTATGGTGGGGTGACTGCGGTCAGGTAGTGGTAGGGTGGGTCGGGTAGGTAGGGTGGGGTTGGGTAGGTGGGGTAGTGGTAGGGTGGGTTCGGGTAGGTAGGGTGGGTTCAGGCGGGGTATGGGGTAGGGTCAGGGTAGGGGTAGGGTGAGGTCGGATAGGGTAGGGGTAGGGTGGGGTTGGGTAGGTGGGTAATGGGTGGGGTAGGTTTGTGGTCTGGTAGGTAGGGTAGGGGTGGGGTCTGGTAGGTAGGGTAGTGGTAGGGTGGGGTCGGGTATAGGGTAGGGGTAAGGTGGGGTCAGGTAGGTGGGGTAAGGGTAGGGTGGGGGTCAGTTAGGTAGGGTAGGGGTGGGGTAGGTAAGGTAGGGGGTAGGGGTGGGGTAAGGGTAAGGGTAGGGTGGGGTCAGGATAGGGTAGGGGTAGGGTGGGGTTGGGTAGGTGGGTAAGGGGTGGGTAGGTAGGGTAGGGGTGGGGTCTGGTAGGTAGGGTAGTGGTAGGGTGGGGTCGGGTAGGGGTAGGATGGGGGTAGGGTAGGGGTAAGGTGGGGTCAGGTAGGTGGGGTAAGGGTAGGGTGGGGGTCGGTTAGGTAGGGTAGGGGTGGGGTAGGTAAGGTAGGGGGTAGGGGTGGGGTAAGGGTAGGGTGGGGTCGGGATAGAATGTGTAGGGTAGGGGTGGGGTAGGTGGGGTCGATAGGTAGGTGGGTCAGGGGTAACAATAGGGTAAGGGCAAGGGGTAAATTCGGAAACTGAAAAAGCTTAAAGTGCCGCTTAATTAATACATGGGGGTGTGGTAGGCTTAGTAAGCGGCACTTTAAGCACCTATTTCGGTTAGTAAGCGGCTTTTTAAGGAGCGTGCGTGTTTACTTCACCTGTCTTACTAACCTAACTGTGACTTTAGCAGCGAAGTAAACGTCTCCTTAGTGTTTTATTTTCCTGCACTTTGGTTATTTTGCATCTCATTTCTTTTTTCAGAAAGTATGTGTCTTTTTGGTTTAAAACCGAAAAAACCGGAGTCAAACCGAACAAAACCGAACCGATTCAACCGTGGTTGGACAAAAAAGTATGAACAAACCGAACTGAACCGAAGTTTTTAGTTTGATTCTACATTTGATTTTAGGTCAAAACCGAACCGCATAAACCGAACCCACCCCTACTTCGAGGGGGGCCACCATTTCAGGTTGAAACTCAAGCTTGCTATTCTCACCTTGCTCGATGAAGTGATCTAAAGGGAGACGTGGTTCGTGCTTCCTTTACTGTTTTAAACTATAAACTATGCTCATAGATATTTTGTAATAAGTACATTTGTTTTGGGCCTGCGAGTCCACATTTTGGCCATGTGTGGCCCATGATTGAATATTGAATATTTCCGCGGTTCGTTCAATCCAAATATGTGATGTTGTTATGTATGTTTACTTACTGAGTATGGTATGAACTATGTTCATGGACGCCTTGTATGATTAAGTCACGTTGACTTGCGAGTGACGTCATTTAGTCATACGGCGGTTGAACACGCGCTTGGATGCGGTCCGGGCGCGTGACATGAATGTTTCTGATACGAAATAATAATTACACAAAAAAGTTATTAGTAATTAGAAAAATCTGTAAAAAAAAGTTATTAGCAATTAAGATTGAATTACTCTGAATAATGATTAGAGCTCGTTTGGTAACACTGAAATTGATTTAACGGCTGAATGTATTGAAATTTATCAAATTATGACTAAAGTTACTCAATTAATTGAATCTCTTGAATTACAAAGAAATTAAATTTAGAATATATTTTTATTAATCCTCACTACACTCCTTAGCGCGGTTCCATTTTACATTTTCCGCCTATCCCGTTAAATTTGCTGCATACCATATTTGCGAATATTTGGACGATTATAACTGTTTCTTATTTTATTCACAATTTAACAATTCAATATTACTAGTCACACAATCACAATTTTCTTCACAAACACATGTACTACTCCCTCTTATCTCAATTTTAGGGGGGTGAAGTATCATGAAGAAAAAGTTAGATGAAAATGCTAAAATAGCTGGATTTAAACAATTTGAGTCAATTTTATCAGAAAATAATCTCAACCTCACTTATTTTAATTATTAAACAATAAGTGATATCAAAATAATTTAATTTTGATTTCAACCTCACTTAAATTTAAAAATAATTTATTTTGACTAATATTAAAATAGAAAGTGCTATAAAGGACCCTTGTTTTATTTTACCGTATCAAATGACGTGTAATCCTAATATGGAGCTTTTCTAATAGGTTTATTTTTAAGTTTTTTGCACTCAAAAAGAGTTTAAGGGCATGGATGATGCTCTTTAGACACAACTTCGAAGGGATTTTTGTCCCTTTTCCCAAAGAAAAAAGGAAGACACTGACGTATGCGAAGGGAGGGGAGTGAGAACTGAGACGAGAACAGGGATTACAGGGTAAAAGAAAAGAAGGTAAAAAATAAAGGTGACAACTCCGGTATCTTTCTAAAATATAGGGTATCGTACCTATCATTCATTTGATTGGACTACATCACTTTATCATTTTTAATTTAGATTTAAATAATTCAACTTCTACATTCTCATTGATTCATATAGACAAAGGTATGGTACCTTATGGGTATCATAGAATCTACCAAAAATAAATCTTTTTATAGTGTGTACACAAGTGTGGAGAACAATCATTTTTGTTATCCAAACATAGGGGTGTTTGGAACTGCTTCTGCTTCTTTTTTAAAAATAGAAGCAGAATCAGAATCAGTTTTCAGAAGTTGGTACCCCTCAGCTTCTAAAAAAACTGATTCTGAGAGTAAATTAGAGCTTCAGAAGTGCTTCTGAAATTTCACCCAAACACTCCAGCTTCTGCTTCTGCTCCCTGAAGGAGCAGAATCAGTTTTGAGAATCAGATCCAAACACCCCCATACTTATGACATACTCCACTCCCGTACTGAGTTCTTCAAAGCCGGCAAAATCAAAATTCTACGTAGTACTCCCGTACCTTTGTGTGGAAGAGGGAGTTCCAACTGATCGCTCTCACGTGGTAAAATACATGGTACAACCGGCTGTACCGTGCGCACAGTACAGCCGGCCCTTTTTTGGCTTTTACGCTTCCTTGCCTCGCACCAGAAGAAGATCCGGCTTCACACCTGAAGCCTCGCACAAGAAGAAGAAGATCCGGCTCCGCTTCATCGTTCGATCCAGATAGCAAAGCCCTGCCCAAAAACCTTTTCTTGATTTCAATTTGTTTGAATTTCGATCTGTAGTGCTTGGAGTTGTGAACAACGACTTTATATTGGGTTGTGCCTGGTATGAAGCATCTGAGAATTGAGTAATTGGGGGTGTTGACTCAGGTGTTGTAAGAATACAGTGTTGCTGAAGTGGGAAATTAACCTATGTGTGTAATACTGATTTTCAATGAAAAGGGGTCAAACACATTACAACTGAGTTTTATGTTAAACTCAAATGAGTATAAGGCTTAAAATCAATGAGCACACACAAATGAGTATAAAGCTTAAAATCAATGAGCACACATAAATAAACTTTTGAATTTTTTATACTCATTTTGTGGGTTATGTATGCTCATTCAATCTCAAATGAGTTTTATATTAAACTCAAATGAGTATACTCCTAAAAGAAATGAACTCACACAAATTAATATTGAGCACATTGAAAATGAGTTTTTATGAATGTAACGCCCAAAATCAATGAGCATACACATATGAACTTTTGAATTTTTTGATACTCATTTTGTAAGTTATGTATGCTCACTAGGTACTACTTTATGCTCATTTTGAAATGTTTCACATTTCAAACGTAAAAATACTATATTAGATTCACATATTGAAATTAATTGAAATTGATTATAAACATAATTTAAGAATTTGTTATTAACGAAATATAATAAAAAGAAACTGAATTAGAAGATATGATGCAGATATCACTGGTGATCATTGTTAGGCTCCTAATAATCAGAAAAACAGACTCAATGCTCATCCAAATTACGTCAATGGTCATCCAAATTACGTCAATGCTCATTTAATAGAACCGATGAACTTATCAAAATTACAAAATGACACCTCGGATATGTATACTCTTTCCTCTCACGTAGGATACTGCCGATAATTTTGTTGGAAGAGGCTGTTTTTTGTGTGGTTAGGTTCAACTATTCCATGGCTTTGCTCACAGAGGAGTGAGCGTTGGTTATAGGAAGGGCAGTTCCGAAACGCATCACAATTCACAAGTCTGTTATATTACACAGTTCGCGGAGTGCGTTGGAAGAAAATGGAGGCTCTACAACCGTTCAAAAATCTCATCCACTTTGCTTCCTTGAGGTCTAGCCGAGCTATACAAACCCGAAACCCTTCTTGTTGTTTTATTGTCCGTTGCTGCTCTTCTCAATCTGGCGTTCCGCCCTCTACCATCCCCCACAGAGCAGCTAGCAGTAACCGGCGGTACTCGTCAAACCCCAACCCATCCACCTCCGACAAAGAAGCCATTCGCTCCATTCGCATAAAAAAGGTAAACGAAGCTTGCAAAATTGTTACATTTCCACATTGGTTGGGATTTGGGAGAAATTGCAAAGTTTTCATTAGTCTATGTAAATGCAATAGTTCCTTAATAGTTGCAAACTCTTAACCTGTTCAAAACAAATTAGTTATTAATGTATTGATTAAAAAGTATGATCATTTTATTTTATTTTATAATTTTCCACCTTCAAGGTAGAAAATTACAAAAAGCGCACTTTAAAGGATAAAAACAATCATACATGGACGTTTTTGCATCTTTAGATTTTTACACATCACTAAAATGTGACAACTTTATATTTTATCTGTTATGTAGAATTTGAGATATTGAGTTATGGGTTTGGACATGATGAATTTGTGTCTTTACTTTCATGAATCAAAAGACGAATAAGAGTTCAGGATTTAAGAAGTTGGATTGACTGATAGAGTTTGGTCAAGTGCAATTTGACACTTGGACTATGGCTTGGATGGCTTTTGTATAAGACATTAAGACTAAAGGCTAATATTATTTCCATGTGTAGCTCATGCATTTTTAATTTTACTAATACAAGATGGAGTTTAGACAAGTGCAATTTAACACTTAGACAATGATTTGGATGGCTCTTTATTTATGAGACTAAAGGCCAACATTATTTCTATCTGCAGCTGATATTTTATTTTGTTTTACTAGTAAAAGAAAGAGTAGTTAATGTACTCCCAAGTAATATGCTCTTATTAATTATTATGCAATTGAACAAGTAGCTATCTAGTAATGATATTACAACTTAGTTCTCAAAGTGAATGTTTCTGGATTTTGCTCCTTTGCAGGTGCAGGAATTAAGAAATAAGGGGTTAGAACCCTATGCTTACAAGTGGGATCGAACTCACACTGCTAATCAGTTGCAAGAAATTTATAGAGATCTAGTGAATGGTGAAGAGTCAAACAGTGAGAACGATTTTGTCTCAATATCAGGAAAAATTGTGGCCCGGAGAACTTTTGGAAAGCTTGCTTTTTTTACTATGCGAGATTACTCTGGGACAATTCAGGTATGAGCGGTAACTAAGTTTGTACTGACAAAGTTGGTACATGTGACATGAGTTTTCTTGAAATTCTCATGTCCAAGATCTTTAGGTTTATCTGGATAAGGGATTAATTGATATCGATGTGCTACATCTGTGTGTATAAATTATAAAGTAGATTACAGTTCTTTCACTTACATTTGTATTGACAATTTGAAATTCATTCTGTGATGCTTAAGTGAGTTATTATTGGCTTTAGCTCTACTGTGAGAAGGAAAGGCTCAACGATGATCAATTTGACAAGTTGAAGACACTCGTTGATGTAGGAGATATTTTGGGTGCTTGTGGTTCAATTAAACGGACTGAGAAAGGTAACTATTCAATTTGCATCGCTGTTTCCTACTCTTTTGTCTGCATGTTTAACCTAATATTTGTAGTCACTCTATACAAATATTTCACACTGTCAATGGCTACTGAATATTGGACAAGCATCATGAAACTATGGGAGTCTGTTAGGAACTTTATAAACGATTAAGTTACCTGCAATTTATTTCCTTCACTGTGCGTTTCAGTGTTTCACACTGTTACCCTTATGAATTATTTCACTGGAAGGTTAACATGGACGCCAATCATTTTACGTAGCAAATTAAAGAAACAGACATTGCAAAAAATCTAGAACTTAAAATTCAAGAAAATTATTAAAATTACAATGGAACAAACATTGCATTCATAATCCAGTCCTTAAGATTACATGGAAAGTAGTTAAGTTACAACAAAACAAATGGGCTCTAGAGGGCTCCAAATGATTAATTTACTTGTTTCCTTTCCAGGGGAGCTATCAGTTTGTGTGAATTCATTCTCAATTCTTACAAAGTCCCTACTTCCATTGCCCGACAAGTATCATGGCCTAACAGATGTAGATAAGCGCTATCGGCAGAGGTGACAACTTTAGATATATGTTCATAATGTTGTAGTACCTACAAGTGTGTGGGGGTAATGAAGTACTATACTGAGTCTAGTGTAGGTGTTTACAACCTATGTGGTTGGGCATTTTGCTAGTAGTATAGCGTACCTATATACTATACTTTTGTTGTCATTAACATGTCCATACCATGAGCCAATGATGTATGCTTGTAGATATGCTGATTATATGATTTTTCTTATTAATTAAATGATTAATTAGAAAGTAGGCGTAGAAAGAGTACTATGTATTACATATTCACGTTCAGTAAAAATTACCACTGCATGCCTAGTTTCAATTAATGTACTAACTGCATTGGCATGGAAGTTTCCCTCTTAGGAATCATTTGCCTTGATTTTGCTCATCTTTCGAAGTTGTTAGTTTTTTGTTAATACTTGTTAGGAATATACTTGTATAGTTGAGCTGATAGAGTCGGTTAGACCTATTGTTAGACTTGTTAAACAGTACAACTGTATTCGGTTATAGACTTATAGCTACCATGTATAAATACTATTGTAACCTTCTGTCATTGAATACGATTGATTCATTTCCATTCTATCTGTTCCTCTCTCTCTTCAGTTTCTATTATGGTATCAGAGCCTGTGTTCGTAATTTCTGGCCATGGCGATTGACAGTACCACTTCATCATCTTCCGCATCTACTGAAAAACTGTTTTTCCAGTTGCCTTTGCTCATCCGCTTCACCTGAAGCTTGATTCGAAGAATTTTCTGTTCTGGACACAAAATTTGTTGTCCGTGCACACAAACTTCTCTATTTTCTTGTTGATCCTAAAATTCCACCGAAGTTCGCTAATCAAAATGATGAACGTGATAAAATCATCAACGGAGACTATCTCACCTGGGATCAACAAGACCAGATGCTCTTCGCCTGGCTTCTAGCATCATTATCCGAGTCGCTTCACGCACGCGTAATCCATTGCTGTCACTCATATCAGATCTGGAATGAAATTAAGAAATTCTTCACTGCTAACGTTGTCGCGCGAGCTCATCAGCTCAAATCTGAGCTTTATTCAACCACCAAAGGTGAGCGTACTATCTTTGAATATCTGCTTCAGATTCAGAATGTCATTGATATGCTAGTTGGCATCTGTGAGTCAATTTCTACGAAGGATCATATTAATATAATACTCGAAGGCCTTCCTGAGGAATACGAGTCTCTAGTTTCCTCAATTTCTAGTCGAAGTATTCTTGATCCTGTTACATTTTATGAGGATGAATCCTTACTTTTGGCCAAGGAATTAAGGATTCGTAAACTGCGAGAAGCATCTCAAATCCTCAATCAACTCTGTTCTCTGCAAATGTGGCTAAACTTGAAGAATCTCAGATTACTAATGATTCCGATTCTCATAAATCTCATGATAATACATCTGCTCATCTTGTTCAAGTCAACCCTACAAATTCTCGTGGTGGTAGTGTATCATACAGAGGCCGAGGCCGTGGAAATTCAAGAGGCAATTTCAGAGGTGGAGTTTGCTCTGGCCCTCGTTCATCTGTTGTCTGCCAAGTCTACAACAAACCAGGTCATCATGCTCTGATTTGCTACCATCGTTTTAACCCTAGCTATGCCTCTCAGCAAGCTACACATCAAGGGAACTGGTCCAGACCTCCAACATCAATGCCCAATTTTCCTCCTCCAACATCAATGCCTAATTTTCCTCCAACTCAATTTCCTCACCAATCAGCCTATCAAGTATCAACCTTCTCAACCTCTTCTCAACCTGCTCAACCTCCAGGATTTCACAATTCTATTTTAGGACCAGTGTCACAGCCTCAAGCTTGGTTTCCAGATTCAGGGGTAACTCATCATGTTACTGCTGATCCTCGCAATTTGCAGCATAGTGAAGTTCCTGCTAACTCTGATAAACTCTTTATGGGCAATGGCCAAGGTTTGCACATTAAGTTTGTTGGTTCAACTTCCTTTTCCTCACCCTATAATCCCTCTCACTCACTATCTTTAAACAATATTCTTCATGTTCCATCTATCACAAAGAATCTTATAAGATTCAGTCAGTTTACTAAAGACAATCAAGTCTTCTTTGAGTTTTATCGTAATGAATGTTTTGTTAAATCTCAGGTTTCTAAACAAGTTCTCTTATATGGTACACTTGGCACTGATGGTCTTTACAGATTCCAGTCTTTTCCAGACCTTCATCAGTCCAGTGATACCTTGTTACAGTCTCCTAGTGTTTCATCAACAATTAAGTCATCTCATTCTTATTGTAATAGTCATTTCTCAAGTTGTGATACAATAAATAGTAGTGTACCTAGCTTGAACTCTACTGATTCTTGTTCATCTGATGTGTTTTCTACTTGTAAACTTTGGCATCTTAGGCTTGGTCATCCTCATGTTGAGGCTCTTAAGTCTGTACTCAAAGTTTCAAACAATGTAAAGTTCAATATCAGAATAAAACTACTCTTGATTTCTGTTCAGCTTGTTTGGGAAAAGCAAAACGCTTACCATCTCATTCTTCTGTTACTGAATACTCAGCTCCTTTTCAACTAATCTTTACTGATTTATGGGGACCAGCACCTGTAACCAAGGTTGTTAAAATCACGATTTAGATCGTAAAATCGTACGATTTTACGATTCTAAATCACTCTACCGATTTGAATCGTTGGCAAAATCGGAATTAATAAAAATCGCAAAAAAATCGTTTTGAAATCGTTAAAATCGCTTGAAATCGTGATTACAAACGATTTCTCGATTTTAAAATTTTACTTGAGCGCACTCGAAAGTCAAAACCCAGCCGAATCACTCAGGCCAGCTGGCGAGGCAGGCATGAAATAGTGCTTGCGGCGTGCTTAGAGTGATTCAGGATTGACAACTATATATGCGAGGGGAGAGGGGGATTTCGTTAGCTCTTCCGGTGTGGGAAGAGTGAATAAAAAGAACAAATTTTTAAAAATAAAAGCCATCGACAACCCCAACTTTATACATGATGTTATAGTGCTATTGCACATTGCTTCACCCACTCACCAATGACAATCTTGTTATTTTATCTAACAAACAATGAGTATTCCACAAAACAAATACACTTATACTTTTATTTTCTTGCTATTCATATACAGAGTTTTCATTGTGAAATTTATTTAAAACATCATTTTTACTTTTGTGTGACTTTATTCTTTGATCACATACTATTATTTTGTTATTAAATACAGAGTATTTTTTTACACCTTAATTAATAGGGAGAATTTGACTTTGCACCCCATATTTTGCGTGGTATTTGACTTTGCACCCCATTTTTAAAATCATTAATGTATGCACCCCATCAACTCAAAAATTGTGAAGGAGTGGGGTGCAAAGTCAAATGATTTTATTGTGAATTGGGGTGCATACATTAATGATTTTAAAAATAGGGTGCAAACTCAGATTATCCCTAATTAATACTACGTACATCATTGTACAAATTACACTCATAATAATCTGAAATAATAATGTTACATACTCAGTTTTCTTTTGATTAATATTTTTAATAATTTTTATTTAACTATTTTGTAAAATCTTACGATTTACGATTCGATTCTACGATTCGATTTTTAAATCTCCGTACCGATTCGATCAAAAAATACGATTTTAACAACCTTGCCTGTAACCTCATTTGATGGTTATTCTTACTATATTTCTTTTATTGATGCATTCAGTAGATACACCCGGATATATTTTCTCAAAGCCAAGTCAAATGCTTTTACAGCTTTCAAAAATTTCTATGAATATGTCAACACACAGTTTTCTCTACAAATCAAATCTGTCCAATCTGATTGGGGAGGGGAGTTCAGACCATTTACTAAGTTCCTAACTGAAAAAGGGGTCACTCACAGACTAGCTTGTCCTCATACACACCATCAAAATGGTGTTGTAGAACGAAAGCATCGCACAATTGTAGAAAAAGGTCTGACCTTACTTGCTCATTCATCTTTACCCTTCAAGTATTGGGATGCAGCCTTTGCTACCTCAGTTCAATCTCTCATTCCATTCCTTACACCAAATTGTACAAATCTGATCCAGACTACTCCTTTTTGAGATTTTTTGGATGCTCTTGTTTTCCTTTTATCAGACCTTACACAGTCCTTACTATAGAAGTCTTGCAGACACAACAGCAGATATTCATTGGGTTCAGTCTTTACTGAAAGAAGTCCAAGTTCCATACTATGTTCTCAGAGTTTATTTTGATAATCTCAGTACAGTGCATCTTGCTCATAATCCTGTTTTACACAGTCGTATTAAGCACATGGTGACTTGTATTTTGTCAGAGAGAAGGTTCAATTAAAGCAACTGGAAGTCTTTCATTACCCAGCTCAGTTTCAGATAGCAGATGTTCTTACAAAACCTCTCTCAAGTTCAAGATTTGTTGAACTAAGTTCAAGATTTGTTGACTACACAATCAACCTCAGTTTGAGGGGGGAATGTTAGGAATATACTTGTATAGTTGAGCTGATAGAGTCACTTAGACCTATTGTTAGACTTGTTAAACAGTACAACTGTATTCGGTTATAGCTACCATGTATAAATACTCTTGTAACCTTCTCTCATTGAATAAGATTGATTCATTTCCATTCTATCTGTTTCTCTCTCTTCAGTTTCTAATAATACTTGACCACATAATTTTAGGTATGTAGATATGATTGCAAACCCTGAGGTAGCTGATACCCTTCGCAAGAGGGCAAAGGTAGGATGTAAAGTTGATGCATCACTTCATTTACTTTTCAGCATCACCAAATTGACACATCCTTTTGTAGTACATCTTTTGCCTCAGCAGCTGTACATTTTTGGTCAATAAGAACTAAATATGGAAGTACACTGTGTTCAAATTTCATTATCCCATCTTAAAAGATATGTCTGTATCTTATTGATGCATGAATTCATGAAAACCTGTGCCTCTTGATTGTTCTCAGCCTTTTGTTTTTTATTCCTGGATTGATTATTGATGCCACCTTATAAAACTCTTACTTTCAGCCATGAGTTTCCTGTTTGTAGTTCAGAAAAACACTGTTTCCTCAAGTAAAGATTTAAAGACCTTATCCTTGTTTGCTAATTATCCTTTAGGTTTCTGGCATGCTTAGTATGTAGTAGTTGAATGTAGCAGAAGCATTGCCGTTCGTAGAACTTGTCAACCTTCATCCTTTCCTGCATGTTTTCTTAGTTGATGATGGATTAACCTTTACACAATTGCCTTAGGGTGGAATAGAGATCTCACTGTTGCCTATTTTCAGTAGATTGTTTCGGAAATTCGAAAAACAGTTGAATCTTTTGGCTTTGTTGAAGTCGAAACACCAGTTCTCCAGGTGTGTGGTTTTTCTTCTTGCATTGCTTCATGGGTTCGAAATTTCCAATTTCCATTTCTGATATGATATTTCAATATGGAGATACTAATTAATTATGTGCACATATCGCTAAATAACGTATACATCTCTTTACTAGGACCATTCAAAATATAATTTTTAAAGAACTCAACATAGTTTGGATTTTGGAATCTTTCTATTTTAGTTGCAAAATGTTTTGTGATTGATTGACTTCATCTACTAGGGTGCAGCTGGTGGAGCTGATGCTAGGCCGTTTATTACGTACAACAATTCTCTTGGAAGGGATCTTTATTTGAGAATTGCGACTGAGCTCCATTTGAAGCGAATGTTGGTTAGTTTTGTTTTGAGTCATCATGTCTTATGTAATGTTTTTGGCAATGTTTTACAAGTCACAAAAGAGAAGTTTAGTTTCCACCAATTGTACAACATTCATAATATGATAAAAAACTTTCATAATTGTACATGTGGGCACACGTAGCAAGGTGCACATGGTTGCATGATGTACATATTGAGCAAATTTTCACAAATATAGTTTTACTTTTAGCTTTGTGTAATCATGATTACATGCACATGCTCACATGCGCAAACACATTTAAATGAATATATATTATGAAATTTTATTTGTGCACATTTTTATACATGCGCCCTGTTAGGCACAGACACAAATCAAAGCTAAAACAGTAAACGAACACACAGATTTGATGAACAGAGATGGAAATAGATGTTTATTGATGAAATAGGTAATCCGTAGGCAGTACAGGGACTTCTTAGGCAACCGGGACTCTTAGGCAACAAGGCAACAGTTCTCAAAATAACAGTCTGCCCTAATTAGCTTCCTCCCACTTCTATTTATAGTAAAAGTCCACGCAGGGACCAAACTGACAACTCCTTAGCTAATTTACCCCCCAAACCCCTTATTTCTCCCTTCTATCAATACTACTACAAGTACCTTTACATTATTATTATTTCTTATTAATAGCCTACTAAACCCAGATTCCTAACATTACTCCCCCCCTAAACAACCACCTTGTCCTCAAGGTGGGTGATAGGAATCAGCCATGATCTTCCACTTGCACTTCATTCTTGCACCTCTCCCTTCCCAATATTTGACGGTTTCTGGGCTTTCAGCTTCTGTGCTTGGAACTCTATCATTACTTCCTCAGACCAGCAATTCTCCAAGGTCTTCACAGCCTTTTAATAGATCTCATTGTTGTCCTGAATCTGGAAATAAGCACTCTTATCTAGTCCTTCATAATCGTCAACCATCTGCACATATAACCTTGGTTTAAAAAAGCGCGCCTGAGGCGCGCAAAGGCACTAGGCACCCTAAGGCGATGGGTTCATCGCATCTTAACCCCCTAGGCGTAGCAGATTCCAAGAGGCGCGCCTTCTTTCACTCCTTTTGCCGCTTTTTGCGCGTCTGAGAGGCGTCCGCCTCTCACGCCTCTTGGAAGTGTCCGATAGTATCTCTTTAAAACCTTGGCGATTAACGTTTGAAGCCTTTTAGTGATTCAGTCATTCAGATATTACTTCCAGAATTTCGTAGGTCTTATATATCGTTAAGTTAAAGTCCATCAAACTCTATGTCTATCTATTATCTTCTGCCTTCTGCTTTTGCTTCTCTTCTTCTGCCTTCTATCTTCCGCTTCTTTCTCGCGTCCCAGGTATGCTTTTTTATTTTTTTTGTTCTCTTCTCCTCTTAATTCTCTTTTATCTTAATTTTTTAAATTTATAAAATAATAAAAATTATTAAAATATATAAAACTATAACAATCTGCCCTAAACCCTTATCCCAATCAGAATGTTTATCAATTTAAAATAATAATAAAGATGGTTTGTCCTATCGGACATGTTATCAATTTACCTGTTTATATGACAGCTTGTTATATTATTAATATTTTTATGTAAAAGTTCATTTATATTATTAATATTATTATTACTATTTTTCTATTAATACGTGTAGATTATTGCAGAGATTATTCTAAGTAATCACCCGATTGAGCAGTTATGGGAAGATATCCTGGAGATCTCGGAATCTCTAAATATCCCCATGTATCTTTTCTTTATTAGAGAGCCTTAATTAGGAGGATTCCTTGATTTCCTTCCTTATTTTACTTTCTTCTCTGGCTATATATTGTGTAGTCTTCTCCTTGTATTACACAGAACAACAATAATAATATACATTCTGAACATTCAGAGGCTGTCCCAACTAGAGATGGCAGCCACCAGAATATCAATGGAAGCCCAGTCACCATCCCTAATCAATCAGATTCGATTATTACTTGCCATAAACTCAATGGTAGTAATTATCTACAATGGTCCCAGTCCGTTATGATGTACGTGTGTGGAAAAGACAAGGAGGACTATTTGACAGGTGATGCACCTGCTCCGGATCAAAGAGATTCAGGCTACAAGAAGTGGAAAAAGGAGAACTATACTGTGATGTCATGGCTCATCAATTCCATGACAACCAGTATAGGGGAAAATTTTCTACTCTACAAAACGGCTCAAGAGATTTGGGAGGCTGTGAAAGAAACCTACTCAACCTCAGATAACACTTCTGAATTATTTGAGGTTGAATCAATGATATATAACCTTCAGCAGGGAGAATTGAGTGTAACTCAATACTTTAACAACCTTATGAGACTCTGGCAGCACCTTGATGTGTTTGAGACATACAGCTGGTCATGTTCTAAGGAGCTGGTCATGTTCTAAGGATAAGAAGTTATATCAGGAAATCTGCGAGAGGAAGAGAGTCTTCAAATTCCTGTCAGGCTTGGACAAGAGTCTAGATGAGGTTAGGGGCAGAATAATGGGAAAGAAATTCACCCTTAGAGAAGCTTTCTCAGAAGTCAGAAGAGAAGAAAGCAGAAAGAAGGTAATGATGGCCCTGAAATCTCAAGCCCAACAACCAAGCATTGAAGGTTCAGCCTTATATACTTCTTCCAGACAGAATGACAACAAGAAAAAGGGGAGGCCATGGTGTGATCACTGTAAGAAACCAGGCCATACTAAAGAAACATGCTGGATTCTGCATGGTAAACCCAAAGATTTCAAACTAGGCAAAGGGAAAGGAGCCTATGTAGCTACTGGAGATAAAGAAGATATGGGCACTTCTAACTCTGCTGCATTTACCAATGAGCAGATTGAGGTTCTTCAACACCTAATAAATCAGAACAAAGGGTCTACACCACCAACTAGCTTTACTGCCCAGACAGGTAATGCCTTAACAACCCTAGTTGCTCAAAGTTAGCCCCATTGGATTGTTGATTCAGGGGCATAAGACCATATAAGACCATATGACTGGAGACAGTAAATTTTTTGCTGATTTGATCCCTATGAAGAATAATGTGACTGTGAAGATTGCTGATGGAACTACTTCAGCAATAAAAGGGATTGGAAGAGTCAAAATTTCTGATATGATAGTGCTTAAAAATGTGTTATATGTTCCAGATTTAAAGTTTAACCTCTTATCAGTCAGTAAATTGAACAATGATTCCCATTGCCTAACTAAATTCTCTTCCCAATTGTGTGAATTTCAGGATTTGGATTCGGGGAGGATGATTGACAGTGCTAAGCAAAGTGGTGGACTCTATCTTCTGGAACATTCACCACATTCACCAAATTCTTCCAACAAGACAACTTCCAGTGAGAGTCAATTCAACCATAAATTCTTAGGGAGTCTTAGTAGAAGTCAATTTGATGATCAAATTCAGCTATGGCATTATCGTCTTGGTCATCCTAATGTCTTGTACTTGAAAAAAATATTTCCTTCATTATTCATCAATAAAAGTTCTACTTTTGATTGTGAATTTTGTCAACTTGCTAAACATACAAGAAGTCATTATCCCAGTCTATCTTACAAACCATCCAAACCATTTTCTCTCATCCACAGTGATGTTTGGGGGCCATCCAAGGTAAAAAATCTCTCTGGTTCAAATTAGTTTGTTCTGTTTATTGATGATCATACACGCTTAACCTGGGTCTTCCTCATGAAAGAAAAGTCAGAAGTCAATAGTATCTTTCAAAGATTCTATTCTATGATCAAAACTCAATTTCAAACCAAGATTCAAGTTCTTAAAACTGATAATGCCAAAGAATATTTCTCATCCAACTTAGGAGATTTTCTGTCAAAAAGAGGGATTATACACATTAGCTCCTGTGTTGACACCCCACAACAGAATAGGGTAGCAGAAAGGAAGAATAGACACTTACTGGAAGTTGCTCGAGCCCTTATGTTCACCACTCACACTCCTAAACACTACTGGGGAGAGGCTGTCCTAACTACAACTTATCTAATAAATAGGATGCCCTCCAAAATTCATCAGTTTAAAACTCCATACCAAATCCTATCTAATATACACCCTCACATCCCTCTTACCAATCTCCCACCAAAGGTCTTTGGTTGCAAAGCATTTGTTCACAACCATTCTCCACTTAGGTCAAAACTGGATCCCAAATCCTTACCTTGTGTGTTCATAGGGTATGGTGCCAACCAGAAAGGATATAAATGTTATTCTCCTACCACAAAAAAGGTCTACATCACAATGGATGTAACCTTTTTTGAAAATCAGCCTTTCTATGTCAAAACTGAATTTCAGGGGGAGAATCACAATGAAATCCAGTCTTTGAACCCTATTTCAGACACTATTCCAGACCTCCAAGAATATGACTTTAACCACATTGAACCCATAATCCCAGACAAGCCTGAATCAATCCCTCCAGACAATATAGTCTCTCCATTAACCTCACCATTTCAGCCACCACCTTCATCCCCTCAAAACCTTACACTGAATCAAAATTCCACATTCTACAAAAATACCTACAAGAGGAAACCTAGAACCAAAGTTCCAAAAGATGAGCACATCACTCCAATTAGCACCACCCAATCATCTGACTCAAATCTGAATCCTGATGACAAAGAGGTTGAGGCTATAGAAGGAGATGAGGAGGAAGAGGACCTGCCTATTGCTATTACAAAGGGAGTAAGAGAGTGTACCAAGCATCCTATCTATAATTTTCTTTGTCATAAGAAATTATCAGCAAACTATCAAACCTTTATTTCAAAGATTGATAGTATTCAGGTTCCTAGCAACATCAAGGAAGCTCTTGAACATCCAGGGTGGAGGAAGGCTGTCCATGATGAACTGGCAGCATTGAAGAAGAATGGAACTTGAGTGCTTACAGATTTGCCAGTAGGGTTGAGGACTGTTGGCTGCAAGTGGGTATTTACAGTGAAATATCAGGCTGATGGCAAGATTGAGAGACTTAAGGCAAGACTGGTTGCTAAGGAGTTCACCCAAGCTTATGACATTGATTATTCAGAAACAT